GCTATACAAGTGTATTTCCCACTATCTTCCATGGTCACCGCTGGAATGGACAGGATGTCGCTGATGAAGTAGTTCTCATTTTCAAAGCTAGGCTTTTTAGTTCTTCTGACCTGTCAGGCAGGGAGGGAAGATCAGGCACTTTCTTGGAAGGGCAGAAGATGGAACTGAATATTTACAACGAACATACCCACCCACTCCTGTTCTGGGCTACCGAACTTTGTTATAGAGCCCCTGACACTGAAAGCCATCTGTGTGGAGACAAAGAGGCATATTAAACCTAAGTATTCAGGGCAGATATTCCACAGCAGTTAGGGTTATAGCTATTGTCAACCTTCTAACTGCAAGTTGGCCTTACATTGTCTGATCCAAACATATCTTGTATGTTATTTCAACTCCTTAGTAAAGGCATCAGACATAATAAGGACTTCTAGCAAACCTTATCTAACTATCTAGCAGTAAAAGCCAGCACAACAGAGATTTTGAAATGCATTCCCTTTCTTCACCCATATCTTTTCTCTGGGGAACCGTGCGTCCTGAACATGTTTGCTGCTTTATAAGCCCTGGCAGGGCTGGATGGAAAAATATTGCCTTAGTAGGTACTGTGGCTCCTGCTCAAAGAACTCAGTTGAAACAACATACTTTCCTTCTCTCTTGCAGCAAGATCCTGACAATGGGCAGGTGTTTCTTAACCCTTGTCCTGGTTTCGGCTGGGATAGAGTTAATTTTCTTCCTAGTAGCTGGTACAGTGCTGTGTTTTGGATTTAGTATGAGAATAACACACTAATGTTGTTGCTAAGTAGTGCTTACACTAGTCAAGGACTTTTCAGCTTCCCATGCTCTGCCAGGTGCACAAGAAGCTGGGAGGCAGTACAGCTGGGACAGCTGACCCAAACTGGCCAATGGGGTATTCCATACCATATGATGTCATGCTCAATATATAAACTGGGGGAGCTGGCCAGGGAGGCAGCAATCACTGCTTGGGGACTGGTTGGGCATCAGTCGGCAGGTGGTGAGCAACTGCCTCGTGCATCATCTGCTTTGTATATTCTATTATTATTACTACTGTTTTACTTTATTTTGATTATTAAACCATCTTTATCTCAACCCATGAGTTTTCTCACTTCTACCCTGCCGATTCTCTCCCCCATCCCACCGGAGGCGGGGAAGTGAGCGAGCAGCTGTGTTGTGTTTAGTTGCTGGCTGGGGTTAAACCACAACAACCCTGTGTCATCCCAAGGAAAGGATGGCCATATTCAGATTTCTACAGCTTGTTTGAACAGCTGCTTTGGTTGGGCAGTTCAAGGCTTTGCTGCAGGTGACTCGGGTCTGGGCAGTTCTTACCACCCTATATCTCCCAGTTTCCAGGAAAGCCCTATACACCCTTGAATCTGCACAACTTACGCTCGTTGCTGCTGTCACCCATCTGATGTCATACTTGTGAGAAGGAGCAATTACTCTGCAAGTGACTTTGAAAGGTTCGCCCACGATTCGCACATGGTCTATAGGGTCCATCATCACTGATACAGGCTTCTCCAGTGCTACACAAAGGCAAGCAGGGAAAGATTCTATGTCAGCTGGTCCAGTGACCCTGTGTGCTTTGGAGACTCCCCAGGGCCTGGCTACCTTCTCCTTTCCATCCTCTTCAGTCTCTTTACCCCTGGCCTTCTCCTTCCCTAGGGATCATCACTCCTTTTTGTGCACATGTCTATGGGAAGCAGTAGAGGTTGGGGAGAGCACAGCAGTCAGCACTGTTGGTTGAAAGGGAAGGGGAACCTTCTGCCATGGTTACGTCCTGAGCGTCAGGCCTGAGGACTTGCAGAACATCAGGGAGATAGGTGGACTTTTTTCTCTGTTCTGTGATAATGCCTGCAAAGATTTGAACACTGCTG